AGCAGCATCACTTGGGGACATATTAGAAATGTAAATTTCAGGCCCAGTTCCAGCAATACTGAATCAGAAACTGTGGGGATGGGGCCCTGCCATCTGTGTGTTGGGAAGTCTCCAGGGCACACTGATGCCCACTGAAGTTTGGGAAGCACTGTGCAAGAACGGAAGCTCACTGAGAGCACAGACCTTCCGGATTGCTCATCTCCTCATCTTGGCACCTGACCCAGGTCCTGACAGGTGGTAACTGCCCCATAATTATGTGTTGAATGAGTGAATGTATAAGTCAGCAAATGAAAGAAGACATCTCTTTGGGAGGAACTTTGGACCCTGGGCTGAATCTCAGATGGAACTCTTTGGAACAAGCCCTCCTAGTGTCCCTCAAACCTCTCCAAGCAGCAGCCACTTGGAAACCCAGGCTGGCCCCTGGGATGGGTGTCAAGTCATTCTTCATTTCAGGGGTTGACTGGCAGCCTGTGTCATAGGCTGTCTCTTTGATTGTATAAGAAGAGTGATCTGAAAACAGCAGCTCTTTGTCATCTAAAATTTTTAACTAGCTTAAAAGCCAGCACCTCTCTCTTTCTCCTTTGATTTCAGGGCTGTGATCCAAAGTGAGGCAAAATGACAATGTGCGGTCTGTTGTCATCCTGGTTCCTGCCAGCCCCGTGAAGGCATCTTTCACTCCATCGTTAAACATTGGCTGATTTTCTAATACTGATGTTTTCTTCCCCTGAATATTCATCTTTTCCCACCCTACACTTAGTGGGTGTCTTTACTCCCTGCGCGTCACTCCTGACATATTGTTTCTGTCTGTACATGTCTGTATTTGAAAGAGTCTGTTGTCATCAAGACTTTTCTGCTACAAGCAGAAGTCGGAAGTTTTCTCTGACATTGACTGAGGCCGGTGGGAGCTCTACTGGAGGATAGAAAAGATATCTGGTGGTGGCTCACCCCTGTAATCCCAGTGGGCAGATCACCTGAGGTCAGGAGTTTGAGATCAGCCTGGCCAACATGGTGAAACCCTGTCTCTACTAAAAACACACAAATTAGCTGGATGTGGTGGTGCACACCTGTAGTCCCAGTGACTCGGAAGGCTGAGACGGGAATTGCTTGAACCTGGGAGGCAGTGGTTGCAGTGAGTAGAGATCATGCCGCTGCTCTGCAGCCTGGGCAACAGAGCAAGACTCCATCTCAA